CCGCTACGGTTGTAGCGGCATAACCACAAAATTGTATGTTAATTGTAAGAGTCGCGTTTACCAATTAATTGAAACGGAGAGAGTGGAAAATATTGAAGATTGGCTCATGAATGACATATTGTTCCTAGCAATCCTTAAATAATTATGAAAAATGGCAACCGCTACGGTTGTAGCGGCATAACCACAAAATTGTATGTTAATTGTAAGAGTCGCGTTTACCAATTAATTGAAACGGAGAGAGTGGAAAATATTGAAGATTGGCTCATGAATGACATATTGTTCCTAGCAATTCTTGAGCAATTATGAAAAATAGCGACCACTACGGTTGTAGCGGATAGTTTTGCCGAAACGCACTCGTATAGCGCTATAATAGTAGTGTCTTGCCGGAACGCACTCAATATATTGGACGAAACCGCGAGCGATGGAGAACTTACTGGTTTCGCCCGTCATTAATTACACGGCATTACACTCGCGGTAATTGCCAGCTATTTAACGCGCCGGAGAGCCGAACTTTTACTAGGAGAAGCCTCGTACGTTCTTGGCGGGGCGCAGCAGTGGAACAGCTATCATTGTGTAGCACTATAGCTACGCAACGTCGCGCCGCGAGTGCACGAGGCGTCATTAAAGGCGCAATATTGGCGCAATTAAGTAGACTCACGCGCCAGCTGCCTTAATTATTTCAAAGCGTTTCCCTCTGCGCGCGTGTCGCGTTTTATCGCCGATTCGTCGTGACAAACAATGGTGTCGCTGTTAGAAAATCGCTTTGCATAAAGATAAGACTGAACGACTAATCGCTCACTTGACACATGCAATTTTTTTCACGTAAATTCTTTTTTCTCATAAATCAATCAAATGTACATTTGTATGCGTCCTTTTATCTTTTGCTGGTCTGTCATACAACGGCGACGACTAACATGCCCGAATTTAAAAATAAGATTGGAAGACTAATCTACATTTATAGTACAATATTACACAGAAAAACGAATATTCTTCTTTCGAAAATGTTTAGTTTCAACGTGAAAATCTTGAAATGAGATTACAGTAGGTTAAAGGAAGAAAAACTTACTTGAATGAAGCAATTTTATATAATTCAATCAAGAAAAATATATGCTTACTATTTAAGAATAATTTTCTTGAATGGAAAGGAAACAATATTGGATAGAAAATAATATATTTTCTAATCAAAGGTTATAATGATTAAAATGATTTTATTGTCAAAATAATTTTATGCATTCTTGATGTGACAATTATAGTATTTAAATAAGACTGTAATATCGTTGAAATGTAAGATTATTAAATGCTTCTAAGAAAATTATAGACTGTTGAGTATGCAGGGTGTACTAAAATCATCGAACAATCTTTTTAATCATAAATTCTGTAGAAAATTTCAAGACGAAAATTCTAATACAAAAATGTCGAGGCTATAATAGTTTTTAAGTAATGAGTGATTATATTTCACAAATAATACGCCTGAGATTTCACGCGCTCAGGTACAGCGATATGACAAGTGATAAAAGTGTTTCTACGAATGTCGCCCTTTTTAGCAGAGTAACAACCTTCGTGGTAACTGATATTGATCGACCACTGTGACAGCTGCAACACTTCGAAGTTACAGCATGTTGCAAATTTTTACTTGAATTAAATGAAAAGGGCGACATTTATAGGAACACGTTTATCACCTGTCATGTCGCCACGCCTGAGCGCGTGAAATCTCAGGCCTATCTTATTATTTAAAAACTGTTATAGCCTCGACATTTTTGTGTTAGAATTTTCGTCGTGAAATTTTCTAAAGAATCTGTGATCAAAAGGATATCCGGTGGTTTTAATACACCCTGTATACGAAACAGTAAGCGCGTTAATTTGAGTATATAAGAGTTGATCTGACACTTTTTTTCTGTGTAGGCAAGAATGAAAAAAGAAACAGAAAAATTATGATAATTAAAAGTGTGAACTCGGAGATTTTTAATTCAACCGCTTAAAATTCGTACAATAAGCAAAGAATGAGTACGCTTCTCGGACTTCCGGCGTTGTGTGAGTGTAGAAACACATTCATAAAGATTTCAATATATATAATACTATAGATGTAGACAATGGGCGACTTTCTCGTTCGAGAATTTCACGTTCTAGGCCGAGGCACAAATTGGGATAACAGGTGCCGAACGTGACGACTCCTCGACGGTAGTTTACGAGCGTCCGCAAGGGAGACGCACAAATCCGTGATTATTTAGCGCCGCGGGCGGCTATCGCCGTAGAAATAGACGTATATGAATTCTTTCAGCGAAAGTTACACACATTTCTCCGACGACCCGGCAGGCCAAAGAAAGAAAGTAGCAAGAAGAAGCGGGGGCTCTACTTTTCCGGCTGCTGCGTATCAACCGAATGTTAACGCGCGTTTCTTACGCCTCTCTCTCCTTTCTTTCCGCAGCGGGCAATGAGCAGCACGACAAGGATAGCCTGAACGAGACCGGAAGTACAACGGGTGGCACCGTGGAGGGCACGCCGGGTGGCGGCCCCAGCAGGGGTGACAGGACCAAGGACAAGGAGGACCACGCGTCCGCGCAGGCATCCACCTCGGCGCCACCTCCGAGATCCTTGGTCTCCAGAATCCTGGCGAGGGCACGGTCGCCTGAGGATCTGCTAGATCATTCGGAACCCTAGTAAAATCTTGGGCCATCATTTTCATCCTATTGCATCACCTATAGACTCTTTTGCTTATTTCTATATATTAAACATTTCAACGTTTAATTTCTCCCTGATTTTATTTTATTTTGAATTTCATTTTGGATCAAACTGAAGTTTGACTAAAGGTAGCGGGGATCTCAGATAATATCCTGGCTACACATGCATCTTAGCGAGGATTGTTTCTCTTATTATTTTCATATCTGAAAAAAATAATTACTAATTTCAATCTGTTCTCTTGTGTCGCAGCTCGCAATTATGGGTGGTTCTCTCAAACGTGTACGGCGAGCTGATCGTCGTGTTAACACTGGCGGTATGCTTGGCCGAGGTCATGGACACGCCTGTGCCTCTGCTCAGCTTGCAGGTACAAGTGATCGAACCCGCTCGACCGGGTGCCATAAATAAATTGCCTTATCGCGAGTACCGCATTTGTCAAGAAAGCGAGCGTGCTCCGGGATGCAACGCGCCAAAGTCTCGAAAGTAACGTTCGTGATGTCGGACTTAGAATTATCGTACCGTTACTTCACACAATCGGGGGAAAGTCCGAGTGTCGATCGGACAGCCTTGAACTAAAAAAACTAAAAAACTCGTCGATTCGAAATTCCCCCTGAAAATGCTAGAATCCCAAGTCCTATAGCGACAAAAGAAATTAATGCTCGTTCATTTTTACTTTAGAGCGTAATAATATCGAGTTCAACAGAAAGTGGGCTCCATTAAAAGGATTCAAACAGATTATCTCCATCGTTTTGAAAGTATCACGATGCGGTTATTTGATGAAATTTGCAATGTCACTTAAATTGATTTCACCTCAAGCCGATTCAACAAAATTTCCACAATTTATCGTAATATAAATATTATAGCGTTTCATCTGGATTTACTACGGATTTCTCCAAAAGGAATTAACAACATGCCTTTCATTTGCATAATTTTGGGAAACAATTTCGAGTCGTACCTCGCTTTAATCCCGGAAAGCATTTTTAATGCGAGAAATAGGAGACAATTGTGTATTATGCAAATATATCGCCGGTACCCAGAACCACATGAGAGAGTATCAGGATTAAAACCGCGTGGCGATTCAACGTAATCGGAACTATGTCAAATAATCTACGAAACGGCCGTCCGTAATCGCGGAGTTTGCGTGCGCTCCAGGATTACGAAGAGCTTCCATTCACGTAAATTACATATCAGGGAGCAACGTAGATGAAACGGTATGTCGTCGCGCGGGTTTCAAGATAACCGGTTCGCCACGCTTATCAGACCAATGACCCTTTCCGCCCGGGTGGTTTCCCCCCGGACGCTTCAAATCGTATTCCTAGTATCTGCGTTTTGCATAACGAGCGCGCTCAACTACGAAGATCCGTAATTGTGTCTTTCAGGGCATATTTCTCATGTACCTCTACGTGGGCAGCATCGCCGTCATCATCGCTATCTACATATGGGTGCTGGTTGACAGCTGCGGCAGCTTAAGCCGAGGTGGTAACGGGCTCGGAGACGCGGAACTCGGTGGCGCGTCGCTCACCAGATTCGGATCATTAAAACGGGCGCACATCTCCAGGGCCAGGACGGCACCGACGAGTTTCTACATACGAGTCGGCGCGCTCCGTAAGAGATAGCGTTAATCCACTAGTCCAGCGTTCCACAAAAGTCCACAAAAGTCGAACATATACGCGTAGACAACATCTATACTGTTATTGCGACAAATATTATCATACGCCTCGGTGGTCGAATTGGTGAGACGCCCGCCTAGAGTGTAGGGAGGTCCAGGTTCAAACTAGGGCTCGATCGCTATTATGCGTTTAAACGGAAACACGTTTATACGTATAATTAGCTATCCGTTTATTAGAAACGTTTTTCCGAATATACGTGTTTTTACTTAACAAACGTTTAAACGGTTAACCGTTTAAACGTTTACTAGGCTCTAATATGCGTGTAAACGTTTATTAAACTTTTTTTTAACAATTGTGTGTTTTCTTTACACCGATTGATTTGTATCATTATTCTGTTCAAAAAAGTATTAAGGTAAGATGATGAAAAAATGAATATTTTACAAGATATATATTTTGTAATGTATGTCAAAATATTGGAACTTTCAAACCTTAAAATACTTTATTATAGCGTTTTGGAAAGCTCTCGAGGTCAGCTACAAGAATATGTAATAAAAAATAGGGAATGCCATTTAAAAAAATTGGTGTGACCTTTATGTGACCTTCAAATAATTCTTCAAGGTCAAACCAATGGTACCATCTTATGGCCCCCTCGAAACCAAACAACTTTTGTCTGAAACATTTTTTATTATTTTGCTTACCGGTCGAGTTATTCTCCATTAAAGGTTAAAATGGCCCACCCTGTATATTAAACGTTTATTAAATGTTTGCACGTATAATAAACGTTTATTAAACGTTTACTAAACGTTTCTTAAACGTTTTTCTACAAATAAACGTTTTTCTGGAAGAAAATGTAAACGGATAAACGTTTCACGTTTAAACGTTTATTCGAAAAACGGAATAAAATCCGAGCCCTAGTTCAAACCCTGGCCGAGGTAATATTTTTCGTAATAAATTTTCTGTGTTAAAAACACATCGCCAGTCATGGTTGATTAATATCCGCCAGGATATTATGATACTTGGTTTACAAATTATTTAGTAGCTTTTCATTGTTTATTGCGAAATTTCCATTCGTTTAACGGAAATTTAAATTCGGTATTCACATGCAATTTTATATCTGGGACTCTTGTCGCTAGACTTTGCCCGTTCGATCAGAAAATCCCAGTTGGAGAATGAATTTCATTTATCCATTTCGCTATACGGGTGCTTTCAGTGTTCGGCCTGGCGACGCTGGTCTTCAACGGTCTGGAGATGGCGATGCACTCGATGATGCAGGGTGCCGAGTGCTTGACCGACGTCGTCTTTGTGCATCCGGTGCTGCACGGCTTGTTCACCTTCTTGCAGATGCACTTTCTCTTTGTAAACTCGCAGGCAAGCATCAGTCTTACGTTAATTACATTACACCGAGCGCCGAGCTCGTGATCAGACAATGCGTGAACGCGTTTCTTCGTTGCGCTCTGATGCGTCGACAGCTACGTGTATCGCTAACGCGATCATACACCGCGTTTGAGACGAGAACGGGGGATTTTTAAAGATTAAAACTTACATAAATAATAAAATTTAAATAAAATCTTATAATAATTGTATAATATGTACGTAATTGGTCAAAAATATGAATTTTAAGAGTGTTGCAATTAACAGAAAAAATTAATAAAAAGGAATATTTATTTTATTCTCATCCGAAACGGAGCATGTCCTTACTTATCGTCGCTTCGTTCCTTTAGGTGCTCGTAGAGCGCTTCGGTCTGGCAGCCAGATTCGGCTTCACGCATCTCGCGGCCACGAATGTCGCGGTCTGGGCGCGTCTGGTGATTTGGGATACCGCGCAAGAATGGACGTATTTTGTACACCTGGCGCAACACGAGCAGCAAACGTCCGTATCGCCCTTGAGTCTCCGAGGATTCCCCGGTTCCTTGACGAGACACTCGCGCGATCTTATAGGTATACGTTTCGACAACTTTTCGCCTTGGTGAAAATACGTTTTGCAAGAGTAACGAGCTGCTTATTTTAGACGATTCGGCGAGGAAGGGAGGCCCCTTCAAACCCTACCAACCTGTTTCGAACGAGCAAATCTCGCAAGTAATCGCGTTGCAAGAATGCTTGAACACTAATACCTTGGGGCAGCTGTGGACTTCAAGTATGCCTTTCTTATATCCCTTTATCGTACAATTTAGGTACGTATTATATGAGATATTTGCCACCTGTACTAAAATTGTTTAAGTCAATTATTAACTTTATTCGTCAATAAAATCGAAACCAAGTTGTTTAAAAAAAAAGCTAGACATAGAGTATAAGTTAACTATAAGTATAAAATTTTAATATAAATTTCTCTCATAATTTCTCCGAATCTTTCAGTTTGATCGCCGCGGCGGTGACCTTCGTGATGGGTCAGAACGTCGGCCGGAGTCGATTGACTAAACAAAAGTTCCACGGCAGCAAGGACTTGAGTAGCCACACCAGAGTAGGTTGCGATGGCTCCAGCAAGGGCCTCTTCCTGGGTATTCTCTGCATGGTCGCTGGTATCGTGGTGATCCTCATCTTCCTCGTCGTGCGAGAGGACGAGAACTTCCCCTCCGCCACCTTGTCGTGGCTCACGTGCGGCACTCTGATCGGCATACTGACGCTGAGTAGCCTCATGACAGCCAGTGGCCTAGTGCAGGTGCGCCAGATCTCGGTAGTGATCCGAGCGCCAGCCGCTCTGGACAGCCTCCTGTCGAACGTGTCGCTTTTCGGGGTGCAACTCTACTCCGTCTTCACCATCGTGGTGTGCGCTTGCTCGCTGGCCATGTCGGATCACGACGAGACCGAGGACACGCGGGCCAGGCATATCATGCTGCTGTCGATGTCGATCCTGCAGCTGGTGCAGTGCTTCGCGCAGAGCACCCTGATCGCCGAGACCTCGCGACGCTCGTGCATAACGCGCTTCCAAATGCTGGCGAAGCCCGGTCGCCAAGTGATCACTTTCCTGCTGTTCAGTAACGCCGTGCTCTGGGCCTTCGACACCGTCATCACGCAGAACTGGCTGTCGCAGGAGCTGCAGCTTCGATTCTTCGGCGTGCTCGCCTGGGGTGTGCTGTCCAGGATCGGGCTGCCTCTTCTAATTTTCTACAGGTTCCACAGTTGCGTGCTGCTGCTGGAGGCATGGAACAAGTGTTACAGAACGCCACGGGGGGAACACCCTCTCAACTGACAACGCGGAATCTCACGCAGACTCTCGTGCAGGTTCGTTGAAATAGTATCAATATTCCTGAAGATCGAGTAAAACGATGATTACGGCACTGTTTGATGTGGCATTTACTTTTAATATCATACTGTCTGAATAATTTCATTCGACCTATAAATATCCAGCGTTTCTACACGTTAAAGGAGGAATATTACATCCTGTTAAAGTTGAAGCACATCACGTGGTTGATATATGTCTTTAAGAGTTTTTGTGCAATTTTCGGATGAAATATTCTTAATACTCTTTGATGAACTTAACGTCTCTTATAAAACATATCGTGCCGATAGACTGCATTCTGGCTTGCAAGAACCTCGCTGTCCCGGGAGATCAACGCCGATGGGCAACGGATATGCTTACAAGCGGCTGCTGCATCCGAACCCGCTGTCGTTGGACGCGATGCATCTTCTCCCCTACGTGGACAGCGCGAGCTGGCTGTACCTGGATCCGAATCCCATTTTTCCCGTACGCCTACCGAGTCTGGAGTGCGACGCGTCGTTAATACCCGAACAGCACCGTCACCACCATCACCACCGTCACTATCATCATCATCACCGCCACCGCAGCTGCCAGAGGAGACATCGCCGAGTACTGAGCGATCCCGGAGGCTGGAACGCCGGTATTCGGATGGACGCGACGCGACACCGGCGAGTACTCAGCAGCGCCGGCATCGATCTAATGCGAGCGTCGATAGACGAGGCCAATGAAGATAATCTATCGCCCGAGGAGGAGACAAGAGCGTCGACCTTCAGAAAAGTGCCATGGCACCCTAATTTGCATATGCTCAAAATTAGGAGAACGTAGCGCAGTTGTGCGACTGCAACGAAGAACGGAAGCGAGTGTCTTGAACTGACAAGAATCTAAAAGAAGTCTCTCGTAAACAAGTCCAATCTCTTTGTAAGAGGTTTTTTTAGAATTTCGCATTATTTAAGGCTGAATTGTCATAAATTTAAGAGATAAACGCACGGAGCAGGTTTATGTCAAATTTATGATTGTACCGTCCATATTGTAGTTTTCTTTAGTAAATTCTAGATAACTCGAAGTAAACTAATTCTGTAATTACGATTTCGCGATTTATCCTAAATTACTTTAAGTACTAGCTAAACTGATAGTCTACGCACGATACAACTTCGAGTCGATTTAATACGTCATTTGTTTCCGCGCAACTGTGACATATTACTTTTATAAAAGATGCGAAAGATTTCACCACAAAGAATCGGAATTCGCGGAATGTACGGATCGTACTTGTTACTTCAGGAACAATTTAAGATAATTTAATTTTTCCGTATCTGAAATAGAACGCTCTTCCACAATGATTGTCTCTGAGAGTGCGATATACCTTTCGGTTTCACGTGCAATATTTCTAGGTTTTAAGTTCACGCTATATATAGTGTACAAATGATTGTTTTAGACGTGCGTCGTAGACGACGACGGCGACGCGACGATAGATTCCGTCGTCTCTATCACGAGAGCCATCGGGATTGCATCGCATTCGTGAGAACGACGGGCGATGCAATGCTTTGTACCTTACTAATTAATGCTGAAAAAAAGAGTTGTAATTATTATTCGCGAGCGTATATTTTTGTACATATTTATTGCAAACATTTGATATAGGAATCTGACAGGATAACACACGAAACAGAATTCTCGGTAGAACTCCGTTTATTATTTCTAGAGACACGGCTCCACTTATTGGATATAATCTAAGAAATAAAATTCTTCGATCAGTGTGTTCCCCTCTTCGTAACATTATTATTGTACGTTATTTCAAACAAAAGAAGATCGTATCGATACATAATCAAAGTTAGACGCGCATACACTCTGAAATAAACTTATTCTAATACATAGTTATATAATTTGTGTATATAAATAATATTTATATGCAAAATATATAACTAATCATGTAAAAAGCATCTATTCGGTCCGCTATTAACGGTTTATGCAAATTTTACTATTAATATATGCGTAATCAGTATTCATTTTAATCGAACCATACACGAGATAATTTTCAAACATCTTAAAGACTACGGTTCTTAAAATTATAGGTTCGCAAACCGGTTTTTTCGTACTTCCAGTAGATTAATTAGGACAATGTAAAAGCAAAATACCACATCTTTGATGACTACTGTATTTTATAAGATTTTTACTAAACGCTCGATTTATGAAGTTCTTCTCAAAATATGATTTTGATAAATGGAGTTCTGCTGCTGAGCTCTCTTGTAGGTCTTGTATTATTTTGATACCTTATAAGTACTCAACGTGACAGTTTATCTATCTCGCGTACGAAGAAATAGCGTTACTTCGTGTTCAATGCTTCACTTTATCATAAGTATACTATATCTTTCGGACGAAAAAATAGCAAGGCAGTGCCGATTTAGTTTATTCCTCCTTAAGTCGCGAACAATGTAAAAATATCAATCAATTTTAAGAATAAGTTTAACGTCTGTTTGGCTAAATTGCCTACTTTTCGAATCACTTGTATGAAATTATCCACTTTGAGTCTTGCGATTAATAAATGCTCTGGCGATTAGTTATAACGCGATATTGTTAACGGCACTGACATAGAAGTGTTAAGCAAGATAAATATTAGAATGAAAATTTCGACAGCTATGTGTAGACAATAAAATAAAAAAGGATACTTAAATCTGTTCTACCGATCTTACGAATCGAACATACCTGACTGTTTATGGCACTATTTCGAAAAACGTAGCTAACTGAGAAGCCGGTGATAACGATAACAAAGTGCGATCGACGGGGGCATTAGGTAATAAAATGCAACATACACACGTAATAAAATTAATGTTTTTTAAAAAACAAAGAGCACTCTGTAATGTATAACGAACTATATTGATTCACAGTAAAAGTTCTCTCGAAGATATAGATATTTATCACTGATGCATGTTGTTTGTGTGTATATATATGTTTATCTAGCTTTACATTGTGTGCATTTATATATACACACATACACCTTTATATATAGAGACAAATGCTAGCGTTCTTTAACTCATTAAAGGCGCCCATTTCATTCTCGAGAGACAGTTTATCCTCGATGCAAGTTCTTTGTCTCAAGAATGAAGACCGATCGTGACATTCTCGATAAGCGATTTGATAAAATAGAAGGGTAATTTCGAGAAATTTAAGTAAGACAAATAATCTAAAGGCTTCAAGATTACCAAGGTAAAAGAGCAGCAACAAGAATATTAAATACAGGATCGTTGAGACCTTGTTGATGCATGCTAGGATTAAAGGATCCCTTAAAATATCAGTTCTTTTCAATATGAGCTTCTTAGCACAACTCACCGTAACACGAATTAACATAAATCAGCCTTTAATGAGTCAACTGATTGAGATGTAATAAACTCTCCTGTATTCGTTGATAAGACGATTAGAGCACGATTAGTCGAGACCAACGTCATCATGGGGAGGCTTCGGGGGATTGAAACCTGCCCCGGCACCGGGAAAACTGGGCATGCCGCCCGGGAAATTCATCCCGGCAGCGCCCGGCATGCCGCCAGCTCCGCCGAATTTCGAAGCCAACTTATTGATAAGTGCCATTATCTTCGGATTGTTCTGGTATTTGAGGACGTTTGTCGGATTCGCAGAGATCTCCTTGAAGGCCTCGGCCACTTCCGGATCCTGCACATTCACCCGTGAGAACGATCAGGTTGCGCATCGTCGCGGAACATTCGCAAGAATTATACGATTATTGACAAAAATATCATTGCTGTCAAAATTGATTATTTCAACTAAATTGTTTCTTTAAATTAAAAATTAGTCATTTAAATTTGTTAAAATCGATACAGACATACTGTTTAGTTCTAAAATATGTGCAATTGTAAAAATCATGATAGGCGGCCGAAACATTATTAAAATGAAGTTACATAAACACGGTTTCATTCCCGTGGCTTACCTCGAAAGCTTGAAGTACGTCAGGATCCTTAAGGAATTGATAGAAATCTCCCGCGCCGGGAGGCGCACTGGTTTGGGAAGGTCGCGTGTTTTCCTCGCGAGCTTTGGCGGCCTCTCGCGCTTTTTGCAATCTGTCTTGCCTCTCGCGCTCCAATTTTTCTTGCACCTTCCGCTCCTTCTTTCTCTTGTGCTCTTCTATCTTACGCGCCTAGTACATAATTATTATCTAGCGATATCTATGGTTTTTGTCAGAAGAATAGCGTTCACTTAAAATTACTCGTGAGAAAAACTGTACTGGGACAACTGTAAGTACACACAAAACTAAGAGAGTCACAACTTACCTACTAACATATGCAGACGTTTAAAAAAGAAATCTGACAAAGTGCAGGCCAGGAATACGATGTTATGCATAAAAATATTATGCGTGAGAAGTCAGCGTGTTTTAGGGATAGCAGGTAATCGAAAGCGACCGCGAATTAAGCGCGAGAGGGAGTGATAGACGGCAGAATGAAGCTGTGAACTTGATGGTGAGCGCGCAAGGTTTCGGTCTAAACATAGGCATAAGTAAATGAGACATCCTTGCGATCTTTTAAGGGAAAGAGCGATCCACCGTGCGTCTTTAGGAACGCGTCCAAATCTTAAATTATAATGACGTGGGACATGCCTGGCTGAAATATATATACACATTGTGACCATATACAATTAACGAGCTTATTATAGACCGCCAAGCGGCCCACGTAGCCGCCAGTATTTGTCCCTCAGTTATCTCCGTAAAAATGTCGCGGGACATTACACCAAAATCTCGCGATGCTTGCCGCAAGCGTTGACGAGTGCAAATTCAATTTGCAAACCGTTTAAATGAAAGCACGATCACGGAAAATCAAACGATCACGGAGATCCAACACTGCAAATAACGGATGATAAGAGGAAAGTGCCAGATTATGAGATAGCAGGGTATCCAGCAACCTCAATGAAAAATATTCCTTGACTTTTTTCAGGTTTTCCAGGAGCCGGAATTAATTTTTCCCTGACTGTTTAGTGTAACTTTTTTCAAGATGCATAATTTGCGTACATCTATACGGTAAATCAGGTAAATGTTAAATGACGAAGTCCGGCATTCAAAAAGGTAAAAATTCAAATTAAAGCAATTATACCATCTATGTGTATTACTATGTATATTACACAGTACAATGTGTAATAGGAACGAATATATCATTACAAACCATTCAAACAAATTGTGATACCATACATGACGCTTTCGTTTTGCTTAACTGTATTTTGTTTGCAACTTATTAGATAGTAACTTACTT